CGCAGCGTTAGTCATTCGCTGCTAAGCTCAAAACAACCGTGCCTGGCTTGACGGAGAAACCAGGAGAACAGCTGTGCATATTTACGACAGTGCACTTTTACTTTCGCCCTCTGGAGGGAGCCTCACTGGAAAATCAACACCGGTTGCATAGTGTACCTTTAAAGCTTCAGGCTTTCCCCATAGGAGCTGGAGAAGGTGTCTGGGCATTTCTGCTGAGAATGGTGTTCCTGTGACCCAGTCTGGGATGAAGCAGTTGATGATTACTACGATCATGACTACAAACCCAAAACAGCAAAAACATCTTAGTGGAACTTTGACTCATAAACCAAGACAGAATATTAAAAAAACTACAAATCATGCTTTAATATTTTTTATAAAAGACAGCTCACTCTCTCTCCCAGTCATATTTTGCAGAACCACTATTTGCTCCAATTACAGCTAATTTGTTGAAGTATTTGTAAAACAGACTACCACATCTAGAGATTGAAATGTTTGCTCATCCTACTAGAACATTGCTCCTGATTTAGCTCCATTAACATTCCTATGGACTTAGACTAGCTTCCCTACTGTTGTTAAATAAAAGCATCCCAAAACATGCACCTATAACCATGCTTTTCAGTAGAGATGGTGTGATCAAGGTTACATTCAGCTAGTTGTCCACAGATAATGTTCTATATGCCGTTCAGCGTTGCTCCCATCTGACCAGGGCACCCCCTCCCACGTTTCTGAGTCCTCAAATGTCTTGTGGTAAACTGCAAAGATGACATCTGGTTTTCTTTCAACAATGCCATTTCCTCTATAAAGGCCAGGTTTTTAACTAATAACAGCATAGAACAAGTGAGTAAAGAGACACACTGTCTGAGGGAAAGGGAGGGAAAAGCTAGAGTTTAGATAGAGACCTAAGACGCTCCAGAAGCTGTTGCATGGGGCCCGAAGCCGCATGGCTCAGCACTCTTCTTCACAGTTTTCTGTCCATTCCTGACATTTATCTGCTTTATTTGATTATCTGGGCTCCGTGGGCGCCACTAGGTACATACTCCACACACACAAACACACACACCATCGATTCATTACAGTCCCAACTGCTTTCTAAGGTTTATGCCCTCTTTAAATTAAACCAGAGATAACCAAGTACCTCAGAACGCCAACCCCCCCGTTAAGGTGGCCAGTACGCTCAAACCAGTCATTGAGGAGGAAATTAAGAAACATTGTTTGTGAGTGTATTATCATGCATGTGTGAGTGGTCATAAGGTTGTTTTTAACGGGCTCATCTATAGGGACTCTGCTTCCCATCATTAGTAATTCAATTTGCTCTTTATTAGCGGCTCTTATCAGAGTCGCAGACGGCTACGCGCAGCTTCCCTCGCTCCATCTTCCTCTTCACTCACCCCTGCTCCACCTTTCCTGAGTCTGAATCTTAACACCCGTCTTTAATTAGGGATGCACATGTTTCTGCTGCATGGCGTTTAGGTTGTTTGTATGGGATAAAAGAGGTGGTCTGAAAAATATCCAGGCCGAGGCAAGAGAATCCGAGCGCTCGACAGAGAGCCATGAGGAGGAATAAAGCCTAATGTTAATAGTGATGGCTTTTCTAATGTCTTCTGACTTCACTGAGAATGGGAGATTACACCAAGATGGGCATGAGGCGTGTAGGGTGCGCTCAGAACGACCGGAGGGTTGGAGGGGCCAGTGGAGGGAGAGACAGTGGGAGGAGGGGAGGGCTGTAAAAACAATGATTGCTTTCCATCAGGTTAGGCCTATATTCTACAGTTCGTTAAAACAATCCAATTTGCAAAAGGATAATTATGCATTAGCTCCTTTTTATCTGCTGAAGGGAGAGCGGTGCCATGGCTTGATAGCAGCAGCTCCGCTCGCATCCACCTCTGCAAATTACCCGCTATCGGCACTTGTTCGCCATCACGGCTGAATTGGGCAATCAATTAACACCCCCGGCCCCTCCACCTCCCTGCTCCTCTTATAATCTGTCTGTAAGCCCCTTCTGTGGCAGCAGGCCCTAAAAAGCCTTTGCAGGCAGGTCATGGATGCTATTTGCTGCCCTCTACTGGAAAAGCCACAAACTGGTTCAAATATACAATATAAAATCCAACTGACAAAACTGGAAGTGAAAACTACAAAACAAAATCAAACAGAAATTGGTATGTAGGAAAAAAACAAAAACATGGACATAAAAGTTTAAAAGAAAACCAAAAAAAAGAAAAATATGGCATTGTGTTCCTTTAGCTTAAACAGAGATGTCTCTTCTCAATCGTAACAACAATGCAGTTACACCTCATTTATCTTAGCAACACTTTCCCCCCCCCGTCATTTTATTGTCATTATACTGTCAAAAGTACAAAGCAACAAAATTAACTCTCTGCATTTAACCCATTCCCTTTGGGAGCAGTGGGCTGCCATTGCGCGGCGGCCGAGAAGCAGTGTGGGGTTTAGGTTCTTTGCTCAGGAACCCAGAGTGGCAGTCTGTGGGAGTGGGGCTCGAACTCAAAACCTCTGGATTTCAAGCGCAATGCCCTAACCAGGCCACCACTCCCCTGAGTTTTGTCTTTCTAACTTAGTTTTACTTTTTGTTTGTAAAATAATCTGAAGGATCAGTTAGTTCCCCAAAAATTTAGACCTGAGAAACAAAAAGCAACTGAATTTTAAATCAAAGAGGCCAAATGTTTTCTTCAATAACAAATGAATTGTAATCCAAGTTGATCTGTAAGGAAATAAACTAGTGATGGCTAAATTAAGACAGATAAAACCTCATTTTGAGGCAACCTCAAGACCCCAAAGAAGGGCCTAGACTTTACAAACTGCTAAATTACAGGAGAAGAGGGTGGGAGGTATGAAAGGCAAAGTCTCTTCCTTCTGATTCATAACAAACTCTGTGTAAAAATACTTTCACCTTATACCATTGATACCCGATGTAAGCATTGCTTTTAGCAATAAAAGCTTCAAAAACTGTTTTATAAGAGCTGATCAGTGTGGAATGATTAACTTTAAACTCTTTATTTAGTAACTATAGCAATAAATTAAAGCTAGATTTAATGTGCACCAGTGCTGCAACTGCAAGAGTGGATATTTGGCAGACCAGAATTTTTTTTTGAGCGATGCATAAATAACTGCATTTTATACGAATAAAACATTTGGAAACATTATTGCCTCACCTTATAGAGATCTTACTGGTCAAGATCCTAAAGCTCAAACGGAAGGGTGCAAACATCTGAATTGACACATCAAAATGATGGTCAATGATTTTTAATGAGTGATATTATTGTCCTAAAATTAAACAATAATACATTTTGAAATACCATGTTTACTTAAAATCACAGGTTTTGGAGCTGAACTCTTTGTTTCCCATTTGAGCTTGGTGACATGGCTTAAAAAAATAAATACCCCACCAAATCTAACTACAGTAACTGATTTTCTTTGACACCTTTAGTTATGTTGAAAAATGGCTAAAATGATTCTAAACAACTATTTTTTTTTTCAAGCATCTCTTCTGTGAGTTGACCTAAATTAAAGTACAACTAAATCACAGTGTGAATCATGCTGATAAATCAAGTTTGCAGGCTTTGCCATTGAAGACAATGAAATTATGCCGAACCGGATGCTTGCATGTAGAGGTATTAACAGTTATGAATATACATCTAAAAACAAACAGTGACACTCTGAACTATGGAAGTGCACCAAAAAAAAAATAAAAAATGTATTCTTCATCAAATGAAAATTGGATTAATCAATAAAATCAATAAATCTCTCAGCCCTGCTTTCTGTGATTTCAAAAGTAATTAATGAATCTTAAGAGTTCAAGTCTGACCATTAAGCTTTTAAGGTTTTAAAAGAGAAACGATTAAGAGCAGTCATTCGAAATAAAATGAAAATAACCCTTTGACTAAGAAAATTGTCATAGGCAAATCAACGTCAGCGTCATTAGCTGCTAATCACGCAGACTACATTTTCTTTCAATGCTTTCAAATTATTTATGTAACTTTTATTGGTATTTTTATTACGAATGTAAAAAAAAAAAATTACACAAAATTCTGATATACACCTGGATTATATATAGAAACATTAAAAGTGATTGGAACTAAAGCGGGAGCAACAAT